ATGGGTTTTTGCTGGCTGTAGCAGCGCTATAGCGCTGCTATAGCGCTGCACAGCAAAAACGCATAAGCTTGTGTAAATATTTGTGTGCAGTATTTTTATGCATTTGTGTATACGTGAACCAATACTGTCCACGACACTACTTGCAAGTTTTAGAATCCGTAAAAAATGCTATCTCACTTTGTATATGAAAATAGGAAGATAGTAATCCTGATTATGCAAATAATTAAGCGCTGTAATTTTCTCATTTGTGGCGGCAAAAAATTTTTTTGGGCTGCGAGGTACTGCATTCGCTCAAAGATCACCGCTAGAATTCTTTCTAAACCAGCATTTTGCTGTATTACCGTCATACATAGAGCATGGCTGTTCCAGGTTTTTCTGTATTAAATGTCTTTTTTCCCTTTTTCAAATTATCCTGATAAAATTAGTGAGAATCAAGCAATTCCTCAGCAAAATCACAGCAAATTACTGCATCAACTGGTTCTTTTCAAAATATACCAGAGAACCACGTCAAGATTTTCTATCACAATCAAGAAGAAAAAAAGATTTTTTTTTGCACATTTGGTCCGAGAAAGCGCTTTTTCCCGTGTAAACCAAAAATACCAAAAAATCGATTTTTCAGTTCCATGGTCATGATAAGGCGTTCCCACATTCCGGGCACAGTTAGCCCCCTCGATCCTAAGTCGCATGCTTTCCGTTGGTACCATAGTCATGGAATAACATTATTTTTTTCTTCAAAACTATATCTTCGTTAGCTTTTTTGGTTGTTACTTGATTCTATGCGAAAAGTAGCTCCAGTTGAACACACACTGCAGGAAAACAAGCGACATGCTTATTTTTCTCTTGCCGCTGCTGGTAATTCGCAATTGCACTGCGTCGTCTACGGTACGTTTTCTTTTCTGTAGCAGCTGAAGAAAAAAGTTACGAAATGCTCTTTTTGAAGCCCATAGCACAACCCCTTTTCATGTCGGTAAAGGCATGTTAGAACTGATCATAGTGAGCTGAAATACCGCGGTAACGAATGGGAAAGGTCCGTTAAAAGCGTACAAATACCTTACGAAACTGACAAAAATTACGGTTCTATCCTTTATTTTTTAGCATTTTTCGTCCCGAGGCGGTTATTCTTCTCTTTGAATGAGCTTTAGCACTCCCGATTTACCGATCTAGTTGAAATTTTACTTCCTTCTGGCAGGATCCAGTCCTTCTACTCCCATTCTGCAGTCTCTTTTTCCTCATGAAATCCAAGAAGTATGGATAACTGCACAGCGACTGTTTTTTTCAACTATTTAAAATTTTTAGCCATTTCCAAGTCATTCCTTGGGAACTGTTTGGGTGAAACATCGCTTCAATGATGCGCTGGCGGCACGACAGTGCGCTGGATCTGCTGAACAGGTATCCGCATATAAAGAGGAAGGCTTATAGTTATGGGGCCTCATTCCCGAATGCGCTTGCTACTGCTTATTTTCTTAGATGCTCCTACCAGCTCTTCTTTCACCACCGCAATTCTGGCAGCTTCCCCTTCTGCTTTGTATTGGACCTCTCTCAGCCACAAAGTCTCAAATAGCTGCTCAAACGGCATTATCTGCCGCATTGACGTCTTTCTTGTGTCCTTTTGGCATTATGTGCGTACCATTCATTATATACTATTTACTATTATCATTAATTTTGCAGGATCAGCTGTTCGATTTGTCAATGCCAAAGAACACTTCAATTCCTCCAGGAAAGAATTAGTATCGTCCGAGAAATACTAATCAGCCTCAGGAGCATTCAGAAAATTCTTACAGTTTTGCCGGAACGCAAGCAGCACGACTTCCTAAATAACGTGAGCGTCAGTGCTTCGATTACTCCGACACAAGTCGAAAAGCGAGTTCCGCATCAGTGCCCGGAATGTGGAAAACAACTGAGAAGCGTTGTCAGCTTGCGCCAGCATCATGTGCGATATCACAGCTCCGAATCGCCCCACGTTTGCAGCGTTTGCTCCCAGAAATGCGTATACAGGAGCGAACTGATCAAGCATATGCGAATGCATTCCGGGGAGCGACCGTTCAAATGCAGCGTATGCAATGTAAGGTTCACGCGCAATGAAGCTCGTAAGCGTCATATGCGAAAACATACTGGTGAAAAGCCGTATACCTGCGAATTTTGTAACAGTAGCTTTTCTCGTATTGATCATTTCAAAAATCATAAAAAGACTCATTATCGTCCAGCGGCGATGTGAATTTCCTCTAATTATTATTAATTGTTTTTTTTTAAATTTTTTCGTTACTTCCTATTATAATTATAAATGCTAGAATGTTTAGTGGTTTTGTTGTCTTCAACTGAAAAACCAAATGTTTTGAATGCCAGCACTAAA